GGGGGGGGGGGGGAAGAGAGATAATTTCACGGAAATTTGTTAGTTGTTAGTGAATGGCTGTTGATAGCAGCGACGAATCATACAGTTTGTTAATATATCTGTGGGTATTCTATTATATTACGCTTGTTCCGTCTAACGCAACTCAAAGAATGTATAATATTCAATTTGTTTTATTAATATCACAACATGTTTCGACTATTTTATCTGATCATCATCAGGTGAATACAACTTTTTATCAGATACTCTTTTGAATTGCAAACCATCTTACATGGGCCCATATTTACAATATCTGGTGTATGACAGTATTAGCATTCGTCAGTATTACATATTGAATTATTAAAATTGTAAAATGTATATAGATATATTAATAGAACAGTTCTGGGGTGAATCTTTGAATCAAAGATTAAAGATATTTATGGGTATTGCGTGTTCTAAAACCGTAAGCTGAATTTGGCCACGTTTAATCACTTGATAATTGGTAATTCCGGAGGAAATAAACGCGAAACTGCCACACAGCGAGCCTACAGTCATTCTTGCGAAGGATGGTAAACATTTATTTACATCTAATAGTTTATAAAGCTCTTGGACGTTCAGGAGTATTGCATGACCGAAGTTTCTTTCGAACTGTTAACTTTCACAGTTTGTGAGAAATAGCGTTATCAATAATTCATTTGACTTCCTGCTTCGGTTGTATAAAGACAATTATATCATTGCGTTCCATTATTGTCCAGACATGCTAAAAATCGATCAGGTCAGTGACTCCCCCCATGGAGTACCCTATCACGTGTAGATACTTTCCAGGTCATTGGTCTGTTCCTTTTGGACTTCGTTCAGTTCCAAAGAGCATTTCTATCGACTGTCTGTCGAGCATTTATTTAATCAGAACAATAAACAGAGCACTTGGTACAAGCATGCCAAATGTCGCCTCCGCTTGTACGTTCTTCAAGAACTGAAAAGGAGCACGATTATAGTCAAAATTCTCTTCTGTTTGAATTTTTGGACGTTTGAAGTATTATCACATAGGAAGTACTAATGTGAACATACCGTATTTACGCATGTATAGGCCGCGTGCGTGTATAGGCCGCAGCACAATTTTCAGACAGAAATTATAGAAAAAATAATTTTCTTGAAATATTATTTCAGGAGTAGAAATTATTCCGAAATTTGGCAACGTTAATTTTTTTAAAATGAAGTGTGATTTCGAATATAAGCCGCACCCCAGTTTTCCTCTTGAATTTTTAGCAAAAAATGTGCGGCCTATACATGCGTAAATACGGTACTTTTCGTGTTGTCCGTCTCCGGCCTTGTGTATTCCTATCTGTTCCACGGCCATGTGAAGGAAATAAAACGTATATTTTGTAAATATGATTGCAAGTGAGTTATGTGTAGATTTTGCCGCGCCATAGCTCAAGCGGTTAGTCACTGGCTTCCCACCGCGGCGGCCCGGGTTCGATCCCAGGACTGGTCAAGTGGAATTTGTGGTAGACAAAGTTGCGCTGGGGCGGGTTTTCTCCGAGTACTTCTGTTTCCCTTGCCAATCTTCTTTCCACCAAATTCTCCATCATCATAATCACCCGGGGCAAGCTACGATAGGCCAATCAGTAGCCACCGTGCCGAGTGGACCCAGTTGAACTCCACCCCCCACTAAGCAAATTAAAAAAATATGTAGATTTCATGGTCACTGCTCAGATTTAACTAACATAGGCCCATGTCAGATTCTTTTTGAAGTTATAAAGCTATTAATAAAATATGTTAAAACTCGCGATTTTTAAGAATTGTTTTTTAAATCACAGACTTCACGCTCTCCCGGCTCTTAAATTTTGAAGGGCATAATATAATGAACTCCTTACCTAAAATGTCTACTGGCAGGTAACGTGACGCTGGCTCGAAATGTCCGTTTAATGACGATTGTTCCAGCCTTTACTGTTTCGGCTTATCGACGTGACAGTGCAGTGGAGTTATGTAGTTATGGAGCTGTGGATTAATGGGATTATGTAGGCTGAAAACTGAAGCCGTGATACCATAGTGATGTCTCGACTGTTTGTTAGTATAGACAACATTATACAGTACGTGTACACGAAGCAGCATGGCACTTGAAATAGTAATCATGCAGCCTCTGTTATTGTGTTAGGCACTGGGGGTTATGGGAAGCCCTCTCTCTAACATTGTCTATGCCGATGTCTCGAACATTCGCAACCACAGTTGCTGTACTGCTTGTTATTACTGTTCTTCCATCAACTTCATAGTGTAAAGGTAGACTTTCCTCCTTTTCGACATACCATCATGATAGTACTTCTTTTTCGAATTAGTATTGCACCAACATCTTGGGGCGCCGGGATAGCGCAGTCGGTATAGGGACTCTCTACGGTCTGGACGACCGAGGGGTCGGAGTTCGAGTTCCGAGGGGTCAAGAAATTTCTTCACGTCGTCCAGACCGGCTCTTGGGCTCACCCAGCCTCCTATCCAATGGGTACCGGGAGCTCTTTTCCCGAAGGTAAAGCGGCCGGACCGTGAAGCTGACCACTCACCTGCATCTAGTGCCGGGTTCAAGAAAATGTGGATCTATACATCCACTCCCCCCACGCCTTCATGGCATAGTGTTTAAGTAGTTGAGCTCAGGGACAACTTTACCTTTTTGCTGTACCAATATGTCACTCCGTTCTTCCGCACCGAGACCTCGAATGCCTGATTTCAGTGCGAAGTGGGGTGTATTTTGCCGGGTTTCAACATCAGTCGATATGGCAGAAAGCTGACTGCAAGCTGTCATGTTTTGTAATGAAAAATATCAGTTACCTGTTCCCAAGAATCCGAAAATTGTTTGCGCTCATTCCTAATTTATTATCCAACTACAGGTACCGTAAAATCTGGGAGTGAGGCTGGAAATGCGCTTCCATTATTGGCTTTTAGTTCTCCATGGAGTTGGCTATTACTAAGCTGGTTTCGAAAAGCGTGCAAAGATTATTCGAGAAAGAAGGGGTGGCGTAATTGTTTTTATGGTCCTTTTTGGCAGACAATTATCCTTATTTTCAAAAGCTTCTCCCCACTCTCTGTATATATATAAACTGTGTGTGTGTGTGTACGCACGCTTGCACTCCTCGCCAAACAGAATAATCAAGTCAAGGAGGATGAGATGGGCAGGGCATATAACACGAATTGGGAGAATAGTAATGTATATAGGATATTAGTGTGAAAGCGAGAAGGAAAGAGACCACTAGAAAGACTTAGACTTTAGTAGGATAATATTGAAATGAATCTTAAAGAGATAGAATGGGGTGATATTCACTGGATCAATCTGGCTGAGGAAAGGGACCAGTGGAGGGTTCTTGTGAGCACGGTTATAAACCTTGCGGTTCCATAAAATGCTGGGAAGTTCTTGAGTAGCTGCACAATTGGAGATTTCTCAAGGAGGGCTCAGCTTCGTGAAGTTAGTTTAGTTAGTGCGTGCGTGTGGGATACTTATGCTGACGTAAATACATTCTGTATTTGTGGTCATGATGTAAAGAGATCGTTCTGTAGAAATGCACTGCACCTTGAGGAGGAGGATGTCGGGGGGAGGGGGGTTAATGCTGACAAGAGCATTTTAAGGTTTCCCTCGACTTTTTCATTGTCACCTGTGAATTAACGTGCTTTGCATAAGGCATTGACCATTTATGTATGTTGAATTCTCGTTTAAGAAGCCATGCTGTGTGTCACAGGTAATTTAATTTCTGTGAATATAGCACGAGGTAGTGTCCTATGAGCGTGCTACTGCTAGAGTATCGCATTATTGTTACTGCAGTCATCCAGTATTTGTTTATGAATATGTTTTTCATTCTCCGGAACATTTTATTTGTATTTTTTGTTTTATTTCTGGAATCTGAAAGTGGATTCCTTCATTTCTAGAGATACATCTTTCAGTTATTCAATCGTGTTGTGTTTCAGAGACTTTGGGCAAAATTTGTTTAGACTTTATGAAAAGTTTTTGTAACAGGTGGAAAAATTGTCGTACGATAATTCGTCTTGCTTGTCACGCGTCTGAAATTCCTTCTATTTCGTAAGTGACATGCTAGTTTGTTCCGAAAAATATTCAACTAGAAACTGTAAAACCGAGCAGGTTGGTGTAGTGATAACGCTCAAGGCTTCTAAACGGGATGTGCTTAGTTAAAATCTCGGCCCGGAATCCTGCTTTCCTGCCTCAGGTCTTCGTATTCTGAGCTGGTAAATGCAGAAATGGTGTAGCGATTGGATCACTACGGCTTCTTTCCAAATACATTTCAATTAATTATTCACGGGCCTTACCATTCGACATTTATAGCCTGAGGTACTGACAAACAAGCAAAACAAACTGCGTGGCTTTAGTCCGCAAGCGAATTATACCGACCGAGCGACCGCCGCTTGTTAGCGAAGTTAGTGCCGACTTAAGCGGATAGAGGATGTCGCGAGTTCAGCGCAACGAATCCCTATGGTCGTTAATTTCGATTTTCAAGACCGGAGCCGTTACTTTTCCAATCAAGTAGCTCCCCAATTATCCTCACGAGGCTGAGTGGACCCCGTTCCAGACCCACTACTTCTCAGAAAATCTGGTAGCACCGGTAATCAAACCTGGGCCTCTGGATCTGTAGCCAGCAACTCTGACCACTAGACCACAGACACGGTCCCTGGGGTACTGACAGCATCGTAAAATAAACTACAGAGAACGAGAGTCGTAAATATATCTCCAAACCAATAGAAAATTACTGTAGATTTTAAGAGGAGTAAATACTTAACATCCGTAATTTCTGCCATTTCGCCACGATTTATAGCCCCGAAGGTTCAACAAAGAATATGGACTGCCATGAGCCTGAAATCTCGTAAAATGCTTTTACTGCTCTTTTACTCGATATTTGTGTCGAAATGAAACTAGTAGCCCCCAACCGGAAGCGCGCTGTCGCTGGATTGCAATCGGCATGTGACAGGAGCGTGTGTCGTTGCAGGAAAAAATACACCGCGCGAGTCTTTTGCCTTAAGATTAACCTATATGCATAGCTTCTGATATGCTCCCGCAAAGAGAAGCATCCCCGTTTGGTCATATCAGTGAGTTACAATTATGTCCTTTTCTCAAGGTTGCAGACGCCTCACTGCTTTCTGACTTAGTGCAACCCCGCATTCCTGCCAAGATTATGCCCTCGTAAATGACAGCAGAAACTCCAGAACTCGAATTTTTCAAGGGAAAATTGTGCACCCATGTATCTCATGTCAGACAAAGAAGCACAATGGTACATAAACATCTAATGTTTGTGACATACAAGTTCCCGCGAGGGATCAGTGTAGTTTAGGGTATTCCTATATCCACATTCGTTCAGGCTCGCCATGCATCTTACGGAATTTCAACGAAAATAGCGAAACTTAACCGTAAATTAACTTTATTTTGTCCATGTGGTAGTTTTACGGCACGTAAAAGAACCTCATGTCTCAAGGGGATCTCTGAGCCAAATTCAGGACATTTCCCGCCCAACAGTAGTCTCTAACGCCTCTGGTAGATGGGGGAAGCATCGAGATACCGCTGAGCCAGTAGAGGCCGAGCTCGCTGGCTGAGTCGGGACTGATGGTACGCACCAGTACCGGTAGGGTATAGAGACTGGTAGAATATCACAGGGGGACGCACAATGGACCAATATCTGGTCTAAGTGCATGGGGAAAGCCACCCTCTACAATAACAACAACAACAACTTTATTTTGTGCGCGTCGCGTTTCAGTGAAAATTTGTAAAAATGCTTCAATTAGCGTCGCCTTGCCTGTGCGGATGTTGCAACTTGAGAACCGCTGAACTTATTTTCATGAAATGTGATATTTGGAGGCGGGCAGTTGCTGAAATTTGTCGTCACTCCAGTTTTATCAGACAACAGACACGTGAAGAACTACTAGCGTTTCAGTGCTTATCTGAAAACTGTTTCAAACATAAGCTGTAGGCACCCATTTATTCCAGTTGCATTTTTGCCGAAATATTGCCATTTTCGAGACACCGGAGGAATTTGTAGACTGTTTAAAGGCAATAACAGAGCCAACATGCCAGAATTCTTATGTTATGCCTAAATTTCCTAACTTACCGGTATTTATTATAAACATTACGTTCTTTTTCAATTTCTATCCGTTTCTTACAGGTACACCAGACTCAGTTTCGGAGATTATTTAGCGTTCAACGACTGCGAGAAAGTTTTATTAATCATGAACTGTTCACGGACAGGAGAGAACCGTAGTATCCTTTTTGGAAATACTGTACCTTATCTTTGGCCTCATAAATAACTTCGGCTTTTCCCCAGACATAAACGTGGCCGGAGCGTGAAGCTATCAATCATAATCTATTCCAGAGGTTAAAAAGTGACAGCCCACCATAGCTTGGTTCTAACTTTTTTTTCCTCCTTCATATGAAATAATGCGACTGTTTACCCAATTTTCACGAAAACGCGACTTGGTGATTTCTTTTTAACTTTTCATATGTGGATACAAGGGAATTCATGTTTTAGGACATGTATGCCTGACATTATTCCTCTTTGTCTTCATCCTTTGCAGATCGGTCGATCGTCGGAGTCGCCCATCGACTTCGTTGTGATGGACACGATTCCAGGAGACAAGACAGGGGAGAGCAAGGTGCTGCAGAGTACGATATCGCGGTTCGCGTGTCGCATCCTTTGTGACCGCTCGAACCCGCGAGTAGCAAAGATCTTTGCCGCCGGTTTCGACTCTTCGCGCAACATATTCCTTGGGGTGAGTGCGAGCTATGCTTTACTACATGACATGTTCATAGTTGAAGGGACTGGTGCAAAGAATACCTTCATCTTCATTACCTTGTAGTTAACTTAATAAATTAAATCGATTTATGCTGAAACTGAATCCATGCATGAAAATAGCTATTTTCATTCAGAAAACGTCCGATATGATCTACTAAATAAAATAAAAAACATTTTCAGATCTTTATATGATATCAGTGTTGCACCAAATCGTATATTCTCACAAACATTGTACTGAAGTGTTCATAGAATCTAAAATGTCACAGTTATTGAGGATTATTGTAAAATTTGATCCCCTACAGGCTCTTCTCGATGTGTATGACCTAATTTGTACATCCTTAAGAGTCGAGTACAATTGAAGCCGATTGCACGATTCGTCAGTACAAATACTCATTACAGTCCCAGCGTGGCCTTTGTCATAAGTGAGACTTTGAAAAGCTACTGACACACAGGCCTGCTCTGACAAAACAAGATCTGCATATAGAATTGTATAATATGTGTTATAACGATGCTTGAAGTGTTATTTTCATCATCGCATTAATGCTGCTACATGGCAACTGCCCTCCCATGTTCCATGTGGGTAAGGTTTCGTAATAACATGCGCCCGTAATCAACCTTGTTTGTGTCGTTGGTGAGACTTGGTTGCAGTGGGGAACGTGGCAATGACTGCTACATGTTCCTGTGCAGGACAGGAATTCGCCCTCTTATCACACACTTCAGGCTACTGACGTCAATTTGACGAATTCCGAGAAATACCGCGGCATTTTATGATACTTGGTGGCATCCGGAGTTCGATTCCTGGCAGGGCCCCAGAGGTTCGTCTCCTCTCCACAACTTCCGGACGCGTCCAGAACAGCTCTGTCGCCGGGGCATAAAACTCTCTCTCTCACCTCCGTCAAGTGCCGAGGTTAACATCACACGGAGCTATGACGTGGTGCGAAGGGTTAAATACGGGTGCAGTCTTTGCTTTTTGGTTTGTCAGCACGGCATGGCGTGTCCTCAGGGGACAGATGGAGGTAAAGGACTCCAAGTATCGGGGGGTAGCTGCGAAATTATTACAAGTAGTCGCGGGTAGGTCACAAGAGGGGACGCCCTCCAGCCTGAGGGTTGGGCCAGAGCCTAATCATAAAATATTAGCATGTTACGAATTGTTACACAGGCCGTAGGACTTGGATTGATTCTCTGAAACGATATGTGGAGCGGAAACTGGGCATGAGCGTTGCTGCTGGGAATATTAGGAATCTCTCTTTTGGTTAGGTCCCTCTTGCCACATTGGAAAGTTTTCTTACCACCCCATCGATGGCTAGGGCTCCAAAGTGCTCCCCACCCCCTCCATTCCAACTCCTTTTAACCGCGAGATATCCCGCAGTGCGGTCACATATTCCAGAGCATTCGTTCACATAATTAACTTCATGTAGTGTAGTTATCATGAGAAACTGATGGTGTATAAGCTGCTCAAGTTCACCGCCTTTTGCGGGACCTGATGTTTTGTTATCATATTAACCTTTTAAAGCCTAATGGTTACTATATGCACGACCTGGTTTAACATACTAGGATTCTGCATTCTGCCCACACAGTGTGTTTGTGTGTTCCGTATAGTTCTCACAATAAGCATTGGATATTTCCCAAAACAGCATTAACCTGTTGGGCTTTGTAGCGGAGACACAATGTGTTTCCTGTGAGGTACGGACTGAATTTATATATTTAGTTTGGAAGAAATTCGGTCTTTAAAGGGTTAATAAGAGCTTACCCTCCCTCAGATAAAAATTGTGTGTGTTTGTGTGTTGCGGTGTATGGCATACTTGTACATGGTTGGCATTTCTACAGTGAGTTAAAAATTTGGGTAGAGGAATGAATGACTTTTCATCCACAGCAGTGAACAGCGAACTGAAGGAAGCGACATTCTCCGGAGAATCCGACCTCGTCTGGCGTGATTTGATTTGCATTCGTACATTTCCGACATCTTTCTCCCCCGTCGTCTCTCAGGACATAAATTCTGTTTACAGTACGTTTATCCTTCTTCCTTGCTGCAAATACCAAACAGAAATTCTTATCTCTTGTTATGTTACATATTACATTCATGTGCCTCATCACGGTACAAGCAACAATATGAACACTGCGTGACCAAACAAGTTGACAACGTAATATCTTAAATCCTACACTCATGGCCTAACTAGTATGTCAGTACGTGATCCGAAATATAAATCACATCGGCCGACCTTGTACATGCAGTAAACAACGTGCAACTTACTTTGCAAGTGAACTTCAGACTTGTCCACGGCCTATCATGAAAGCAAGATGGAAGTTTGTGTTTGTTTTCCATCTACAGAGGATTAATAAGAAGGGCAAATAAAATTATGACTCGTATTTTTTTTTTGTTTATGTCTGCTACATGTACCCATGTCAAGCTCTATCTTGTCCTATGAGTAGAAGTTACTGCACTAATTAGTAATAATAGTAAGCTGTTTGTCTATGCTGATGATGTGAATCTCCTGGGTGATAATATAGACACCATAGAGAATAACACACAAACTTTAATTGGCGCTAGTAAGAAGGTTGGTTTAGAAGTAAATACAGAAAAATAAGTATATGTTGCTGTCTCTCACAAGAATGCAGGACGGAATCACAGCTCAGATATGTGGGAACGACTATATAAATCAGAACCTGGTTCAGGAGGAAATTAAGAGGAGATTGAACTCGGGCAGTGCTTGCTACCGTTCAGTCCAGAACCTTTTGTCTTCTCGTCTGCTGGCTAAAAACATAAATGTTAGAATGTAAAAGGCTATAATTTTTTCTGTGTGAAACGTGGTATCTGACATTGAGGGAAGAACGCAGACTGAGGGTGTTTGAGAACAGGGTGTTGAGGAGAATATTTGGACCGAAGAGAGATGAAATGACGAGAGGTTGGAGAACACTGCATGATGAGGAGCTTAATATATTGTACTCTTCTCCAAGTATAATTAGAATGATCAAGTCAAGGATGATGGGATGGTCGGGACATGTAGCACGAATGGGGGAGGCGAGGAATGCATATAGGATATTGGTAGGAAAGCCAGA